AGTACCATGAAAATAGATACTAGTACGGCTTACAGATTAAATGTTTAAATGGCTTTCCATACACTGATCAGGCTGTCTCCTTAACGCACGCCTAAAATTCGAATGCAACGTTTTTGCATTCGAATGCGGATTTTTATTTTAAATTTGACGAATATCCGAATGCAAAAAAAAATTTGACAGCCCTAGAACACAGTGACCGAATCTAAGACCATCCACTCAAGTTACTGAACTCGCACCGCAGTGTTGTTTCTCTTGTTAATCTGCATGTTAACAAAGACACTCTCTTGTGCCGGGCTTCTTTACTAGTGCATGCAATATGGTGGAACACATGGAGCATACCAACTATACAAACTGTGTGGGGGGGGAACCTAAACTGAACCATTCACTATAAAGGCTACTACAACCAGTGCGTCGCTGAAAATGAGTGTGTACTAGTTTCTAAAAAATAGGTACTAGTACCATGAAAATAGATACTAGTACGGCTTACAGATTAAATGTTAAAACGGCTTTCCATACACTGATCAGGCTGTCTCCTTAACGCACGCCTAAAATTCGAATGCAACGTTTTTGCATTCGAATGTGGATTTTTATTTTAAATTTGACGAATATCCGAATGCAAAAAAAAATTTGACAGCCCTAGAACACAGTGACCGAATCTAAGACCATCCACTCAAGTTACTGAACTCGCACCGCAGTGTTGTTTCTCTTGTTAATCTGCATGTTAACAAAGACACTCTCTTGTGCCGGGCTTCTTTACTAGTGCATGCAATATGGTGGAACACATGGAGCATACCAACTATACAAACTGTGTGGGGGGGGAACCTAAACTGAACCATTCACTATAAAGGCTACTACAACCAGTGCGTCGCTGAAAATGAGTGTGTGAGTTTGTTTACAGAATGCTGTTGTCACTGCTGCAAACTCCCATGCAAATAATTACTCGAAAAATATAATTTCCCTGCAGCCAGAGGGCCCCCTTTCCAGTGTAGGCCCCTGGGCTTCAGCCCCGTGTCTGACACACACCTTGTTCTCTCCTGGAGCCATGTTCTGGTAGATGTCCTTGAGTTTGGCGTAATGCGGTCGCAGGAACTTGAGCGGTTTGGGCACCGAGGTCATGGAGGTCGTGGAGGAGCGAATCTGACGCCGCAGTTCTTCCAGAGCAGGACGGTACAGAGAAGTGTCCTTCTCCTGAGAAACACAGAGAAAACGAGCGTCACATCTGCCTGTTTAGCACCAACTGAATTAACAGAAAATGCCAGACAGATGCAGTCGCAACATGTTTAATTTCCTTACAGAATATTCAATAATAATGTAGGTCAGGATGTGACTTTATCCATTAGGATTTGATTGCATGCTAAAAACGGACAATGACGTTATTGCTAAACTCTTTTTGCATCAGCAATTCATTGTAGAAATGCTTTCATTTTTATATTTTCAGTTTTCCTTTTAAGAACTTTTGTCGTTTTATTATTATTAAAATTTTTGAAATGGTTTCAATTTCTTTTTATTTCAGTTTTAAGAATGTTAGCACTTCAACTTATTTCAGTTAGTTTTTCTATTTCCACTTTTTCTAACTATTTTTTCTTTCAGTTTTAGTAATTTTAATACTTGAACTACAACTTATTTCAGATAGTTGCCAATAATTTTTTTTTTTTTTTGTATTTTATTTATTAGGATTAGAATCTATTGTGAAAAACGGACAATGACGTTATAGATCAACTTTATTTTGCATCAGCAAGTAATTTCAGTAATTAAGAAATTACATTCAAAAGAAATAATTTTCTTAAACTATTTTAAGTTCTTTTGTCATTTTACCTTAGTTTACTTTAATTAGCATTTTATCCACCACAATTAGATTTTATTGTGAAAAATGGACAATGAGGGTATTGGTAAACATTATTTTGCATCAGCGAGCCATTTCATAAATCAAGAAATTAATTACACTTTCACTCATAATAACAAAACAAACAATTCACACAAAATTCAGGATATTTATCTTAATTGTGCTTCTTAATACGTGCCAACATGACATTTCCGAATCAGAATGAGCTTTATAGCCAGGTGTGTTTACACATACGATGAATTTGTTTTCGTGACAGAAGCTTCCGCAGTGCAACAGAATGACAGTGACGAGACAAAACAAAACACAGATAATAAAAATAGAATAAGTAAATAGGGAATAACAATATACAAATAGACAATATTGTACAGGTACATTCGAATAGACAATTTTCAGGATTCTTTGATGAATAGAAAGATCCAAAGATCAGCATTTATCTGAAATAAAAAGCTTTTGTAACATTATACACTATTCCATTCAGTATAATTTTTATAATTTTTTTGGGAAAGAAATTATAGAAATTAATACTTTTATTTAGCAAGGATGCTTAAAATTGATCAAAAGTGATGATGAAGGCATTTATAAATGTTACAAAAGATTTCTATTTCAGATAAATAGTGTTCATATCGATATCGGAATCATATCGTATCGAGATATATATCGTGATATCAATTTTGGCCATATCGTCCAGCCCTAACTCATCATGACAGTAAAATAGTGAATTCTAAGTCAATATACCGCGGTATTTTCTCTCAATCAGTACAAAATATGGTTAACACCCGGTCATGCTTGAAAAAAAACCGTCTTATACCGTGAAACCGGTATAATTTTGAAAATACCGTGATATAACGGTATAGTCATACCGCCCAGCACTACGTACAGGTATATTATTCCACCAGAAATAACTCAGAAATCCATCAAAAACAAACTCCACTTACACCGAGTCTTTCCACGAGCATCTCCAACTCCTCCTGAAGCAGTTTGTCCTCCTCCGACTGCAAAAACAACAACAAATACACCATTCAATATCGCGCACACACATCAGACGTCTACAAACAATGAAAGATAACTATTTTAATGACCTTCTCCTCATATTCTATCATATTTACCAACTATATCCATCCATTCATTCAATAAATCCCTGTGTTTACATATTTATATGATTATATGTCGCGTATAAACACCCCTGGACTGTCTGCAGGTCGGTTTATTCAGCACGTTGGTCGTCTTAAAGCACAGACACGGTGTTTTGAAGTGTTTCGCGCTGATATCGGTTTATAATCCGTGTGTCGTGATGAATGTGAGAGTGTTTTGTGGATGTGTTGAGAGTCAGGCCTGCAGAGTGACTCAGGCGGAATTCAAACGCAGTCTTTCTCTCTCTCACCAGCTCCTGGTCCTCTTTCTTCTCCTTGTCTTTCCCCGCCGGTTGTTTGTCCTTCTCCTCCGTGATCTCGGACTGCTTTTTCTCCTTTTTCGCGGTTTCCTCCATGATTTTTCTGCTGCTGTTTCTCTGAACGCGACTCACTACCGCTAACTATGTTTCTTCTTCTGCGGCTGACGCGCGTCACAGTTCTGCAGTGCTGCAGCGAATCACCGCCACCCACCGGCCGCACTGAGAACTGCACTCTGTGTATTATCCATTTCCTGCAGGCTGTCCAAGTCACTGTCTCTTATTAGTACAAATATGCATCACTTTTATTGACAAAATAATTCACTAAATTAATTATTGTTATTGTCACCAACTATAATTCAAATATATTTTTGAGGAAATTCATAACAAAACTCTAGCATATTTGAAAATATAAAAAATCTGTAAATTATGTCCATAGTACTGCCTTATCTGTATATTTATTGTACATTTGTAACATACTGGAGACACTGTATATCCTGTACTTACTGCTTATTGCACTTCTGGTTAGATGCTAACTGTATTTCGTTGCCTTGTACCTTACATGCGCAATGACAATAAAGATGAATCTAATCTAATCTAATCTAATCTAATATTTAACTTATACCAGCGTTATTTTATCATAATTTAGATTCTATTAAAGTTTTTATTAAAATTTAGCATGTAGAATCATGTTTACTAATGTTGCAGTGTTTTTGTTGTTTTTTATTTTAGTTTATTTTAGTTTAGTACAAAGTTAAACTAAAGAAAATGAGAAATGTTGACTAAAATTAGAAATGACAACTAACTGAATATTTGTATTTTATTTAATTTCACTTAAAGTTTATTTTATTCCAGTTAATGACATTTTTATGTTTTTTTTTAATTTTTTAAATCAGCATCATCATTACTTCGTGTCACAACATACCGCCCAGCACTACGTACAGGTATATTATTCCACCAGAAATAACTCAGAAATCCATCAAAAACAAACTCCACTTACACCGAGTCTTTCCACGAGCATCTCCAACTCCTCCTGAAGCAGTTTGTCCTCCTCCGACTGCAAAAACAACAACAAATACACCATTCAATATCGCGCACACACATCAGACGTCTACAAACAATGAAAGATAACTATTTTAATGACCTTCTCCTCATATTCTATCATATTTACCAACTATATCCATCCATTCATTCAATAAATCCCTGTGTTTACATATTTATATGATTATATGTCGCGTATAAACACCCCTGGACTGTCTGCAGGTCGGTTTATTCAGCACGTTGGTCGTCTTAAAGCACAGACACGGTGTTTTGAAGTGTTTCGCGCTGATATCGGTTTATAATCCGTGTGTCGTGATGAATGTGAGAGTGTTTTGTGGATGTGTTGAGAGTCAGGCCTGCAGAGTGACTCAGGCGGAATTCAAACGCAGTCTTTCTCTCTCTCACCAGCTCCTGGTCCTCTTTCTTCTCCTTGTCTTTCCCCGCCGGTTGTTTGTCCTTCTCCTCCGTGATCTCGGACTGCTTTTTCTCCTTTTTCGCGGTTTCCTCCATGATTTTTCTGCTGCTGTTTCTCTGAACGCGACTCACTACCGCTAACTATGTTTCTTCTTCTGCGGCTGACGCGCGTCACAGTTCTGCAGTGCTGCAGCGAATCACCGCCACCCACCGGCCGCACTGAGAACTGCACTCTGTGTATTATCCATTTCCTGCAGGCTGTCCAAGTCACTGTCTCTTATTAGTACAAATATGCATCACTTTTATTGACAAAATAATTCACTAAATTAATTATTGTTATTGTCACCAACTATAATTCAAATATATTTTTGAGGAAATTCATAACAAAACTCTAGCATATTTGAAAATATAAAAAATCTGTAAATTATGTCCATAGTACTGCCTTATCTGTATATTTATTGTACATTTGTAACATACTGGAGACACTGTATATCCTGTACTTACTGCTTATTGCACTTCTGGTTAGATGCTAACTGTATTTCGTTGCCTTGTACCTTACATGTGCAATGACAATAAAGTTGAATCTAATCTAATCTAATCTAATATTTAACTTATACCAGCGTTATTTTATCATAATTTAGATTCTATTAAAGTTTTTATTAAAATTTAGCATGTAGAATCATGTTTACTAATGTTGCAGTGTTTTTGTTGTTTTTTATTTTAGTTTATTTTAGTTTAGTACAAAGTTAAACTAAAGAAAATGAGAAATGTTGACTAAAATTAGAAATGACAACTAACTGAATATTTGTATTTTCTTTAATTTCACTTAAAGTTTATTTTATTCCAGTTAATGACATTTTTATGGTGTTTGACATTTTTTAAATCAGCATCATCATTACTTCGTGTCACAATAATTTCTCTTCTGATTGACTGTATCAGTTTTGACTAGAATTTCTTAATAACTAAATCAAAAGTTGTCAAAAAGTGCAATAAAGTTCTCAGTGCAGGAAAAAAAATATTTTAAAGCAGCTGTTAAACCGTTAAAAGTTATTCCATATTTGCAAGTTGATGTTTTCACAGTATTGTTTTAATGTATCTAATTCTTACAGGTTCATGTTACCAGTTTATTATCATAATAATAATATACAACCATTGCTTTCGTTCCTTATTTTTAAGTAATCTTGAATAAAACCGTATGCTGAATGAATAAATGTAAATGCTCCATGCAATCTGAATTTTCCTATTTCACTACAGTACACACAGACACACACACACACACACACACACACACACACACACACACACACACTCACACTCCTACACACACACACACTCACACTCCTACACACTCACACTCCTACACACTCACACTCATACACACTCACACTCCCAC